TGTTAAAAAAAAAAAAAAAAAAAAGAAAAAAAGTGTTTTGAGTTCCCAAGTTATAAATAAACTAAGTTAACAATGAGTAGCAGTAAAAAAGTACACATCTTTTTGTAGCTTTTCATGACAAGCACTGAATTCTAAGTACTGGAAAACGGTGCGAATGCCTCCCTATTTAATCTAGTATTGTGCATATTTTAATTATGAACTTCGTTTTTATTTCTGCCAGTCAGAAGAACAGCTCTGTAATTCACTGTTAAATTTACCAGTCATGTCTTGGTTGACAGTTTCTGTTTATAAACATATAAACTCACATACATGCTTATTTCAGTGAGAAGGAAATATTCTTTTTATATTTTTATGTATGGGCCTGATATGAAGCTCCATGAGAATGACCAAAGACATACAAAGTCCCACTTCACCAAGAGATGCTCAAAAGCCCCGCTGTTTAACCCAGGCACAGAAAGCAAAGGGGGTGACAAATAAATAACACTATCACAGGCAAAATTCTGCTGAAGAGGCATCTGTTAACAAAAGTTTAAGTTTTGCAAAATGAGAAACGACTTTTTTGGAAGGAGGGGAGGCTTGTTTTTCTTTTAATGAAAGTGTTACTGGCATATCATACCGCCGGCGGCAGTGGAATCTCTGTTGGCAGTCGCTGAGGGAACATCCCATTTTGATTTAAAGATTATTTTCTGCTTCAAACAAATTCCTGTAGCGGTTCCCATGGCTAATGCTGCACAGGAGTGTAGCAGACCAAGTGATTTGCAGCCAGCCTTGCTGGTTTATAAACCGCAGCCTTTTCTGCGTGTGGGTTTTTTTTTCTTTTTTTTTTTTTCTTTCTGTTACATCAAGGTGCTATGGTTTTCTTTGACTCGGACTCCATGTTCAGCATATTCACTGTATGTTGATCTTATGTTTCACTTTTTTTGTGTAAAAGTTCAATCAACTAGTAAGTAACTTGTCATTAGATATTTATTTTTAAGCTGACCATTTAACTGCTCAGTTGCTACCTTTAAATGCTTTTAAGTGATTACACTAACCATAGTGCTCTTACATCCTGGCAGCTAGTGTCATCCTCTCTGAGTTTTGCTCTGAGGAGGCCTCATAGCTTTCTCCCTCACTTTGTCAGTATAGAGGAAACTGGCAGAAACAATTTAAACTTCTTAAAGTTTTCCAATATAGAAGGACTATTCTGTGATTTCCACGAGCAGTTCTCCACTCTGACTTTTGAGAATGCTTGCGATCAGCAAAGAGAGATCCTTCAGTCCTCAGGCGCTTCTGCTGTGTCCCAGGAAACTGCTTCTAGTGCTCGATCCAATTATAAATCCAAATTGCTGTTTACTTTCAGCCCCTAAGAATTTCCAGCAAAGTTTTGGGAGCCTGACAAAATTTGAAAAATCTGAGTATCCTAAAAACTGCCCTGGAGACTGGGTAACTGGTAACTGCTTGAGTAGTTAGGATGTATGTGCACAGGCTGCCCCGTGGGCTAAATCCTTCCTAGAACCACAGTTCAGCTCCTGTTTGGGGCATTTGACTGCCCTGGCTCTCTTTCAGTGGAAGCGGAAGCAGCTCAGGGAACGAATGGTTCGCCAGCTGCCAAGACCATTCCCAAAGCCTTGGGATGAACTCTTCAGGATCTGTCTTTGCTGGGCTGGAGACGTGGCAGAAGTTGCTCTGTTGTCCTTCCCCCACCCTCCAGCTCGACACAAGGGTCTCCTGTGTTGTGGTTAGCCTGCTGCTGCTATACACTTTTGGAAGACAAAATTGTCAGATTTCCTTTTTCTTTTGCTTCCACCAAGGGTGCACTGTGAAGGGTGCTTTAAGTGTTTTTGACAAAATCAGGAAATGGATGTAGAAAAAAAAAAAAAAACGTTTGGGCCACGAGAACAAGTGCTCTGAAGTTAGGAATTATCTGTTGTATGGATGACTGTGCAACATGCAGTTTGGCCCAGACTTGCCAGATATTTGGGTTTCCAGTTAGCTACATAAGTTAGCATGCTGCCGTGGCTGTTAAAAAATCTGGGTTGCTCTGGTTACAGTGAATTGGCAGGGTGACTCCCACAGTAATCCCTGCGTGGCTCTGGGGGTGGGTGGGAGCAGACAGTGCTATTCAGATTTGTGTTGTGCCAGATCTCTAATACATCCCTCTTGTGGTTTATGATAAGAGCTTTTCAGAAGTTCCAGAAGGCTGGTTTAAGCCTGCAATGTTTTATCTGAAACTTTTCACATTTGAAGGGCGGTCCGGGGTGTGGTGGGAGGAGGGGAGAGAGGAAGCCTTCTGTTGTATCTACGGTGGGCTTCCAGGGAGCTCTGCCTGGACTTCTGGCAGCTCAGCCCTGAGGCTGTGATAAGCCCAGTGCTGAGCACAATTTACTCTGTGGGTCTGCCTTAGAGCTGAGACTGAAAGGATCCCACCTGCTCCTCCACACCTCCGATGCTCTTGTCATCTTTTCCGTGCTGCTGCTGTGTTCAAGAATTCCAACCTTTGCTGAAATTTCAAATATTTTTAAAATTTTGTCTTGTTTGCACCAAAACCAAACCCAACCTCGCTCCATCTCTGGTGAAATTTCATGTGAACTAGAAACTGTTTGCTGTCCAGATCTAATAAGCTACAGTTTTCTGTCTTAAAACGGCATATTGTGTCCTTTTTGTTTCTCTTTAGTATGGCTATCAGGCTGTTTATCATAAGCGCACTGGTGGCTGCTCACCCAGCCAACTAAACCTCTTGTTTCTTAACTTTACACCTCTTGATTTTACAACTTAGGTTAACTTAAGGTTTTCTTAGTGTAATTAAATGTAAATATTTGGAAATCTCTCTCTCTCTCTCTCTCTCTCAATGCCTAATGGCTTTAGCTGTGTGTTAAAAGCTTATTATTTGCTATTCAGTAGTCCATTCTGCAGCTGTTTGTAGTGTTTCTTGTTGCAGAAATTTGTGTGTCCCCAAATGAAAGTCATTTGTCCTGTGTCTCATTCAGGTGTTCAGTCACTGAGTCCGTTAACCTGATCTGCAAGACTGGCACAAGTAAAGCGGTTGCAGTTTGGCTGCAGCCTGTAAATCTCTGCAATTTCTGCATTTGTTTCAGATTTAATATTCCTGACAGTGGATTGAAATAAGGGATAGAAAGTTTGAAAGCTTGAATGAACTCAGAGATGTGATTTTTTTGAGTTAGGACTTAAGACTCGTAACTTGCATGCTTCTCCTTTATTTTACTGCAGAACTTGCTTGCTTTTTTCTTTTTATTGCTGATGCTGAAGTGACTTGTCAGTCCGGCTACAGAAACCTAACCCATGCTTTTTTTTCTTTAGGCACTCAGTGTTACTGAAACTCTGATCAAACCTTTGGAAAGATTTAGAAAAGAGCAGCTAGGAGCTGTAAAGGTTTGTCCCTCATTGCCTTTAATAAAGTTTGTTTAATTTCTCTGCTTGGATTGCATTGCAGTAATGACATGTATTTGGCAGAGAGATACTGTTGTTTATATTTCATGTATTCACACTTTTTTTTCCTCTCCTTTGAAACCTTGCTTCAGAAACAAATGGAAACTATGCTTCAAGAAGAGAAGAATGTGTCTTTTCCCTTCCTTCTCTCCTCCCCCTCCCTTATCTCTGGTGTCTGGAATAGGAGCAGTCCTGCTAACAGCCTGCCCTCCTTCCTAATGGGTAACCCTGTTCTGCTTTGTATTTGCTTCCAGTTGCACAATCAAAGGCTGAAAAATACTAACTACCCAAAGGAGGTCTTCCATATGCTTTCAACCGTATTTTTAGAACCCGCAAAGTGAAAATTGGCTTTGTTTTACTTTTTGTTTCAAATAAGTATCACATTGCCTCTGTATGAGTGGAAGAAAATAGAGATGGAGAGGCTAAAAGGATCTCATCATTTGAAGTTTTTTTTTTTTGTTTTGGTGAAAGCGTTCAGTAATTTTTTTTAAAGATTGTTACTATGTTGTGTATATTAAAAAAAAGGCAAAGTAAACTTCGTATATTAAATACAGACTAGCTTTGGATAAAAGTAGCAAGGAGAAGAACCTCTTTGCACCTGTCTACCTTCCTTCTTCCAGTGAGAAATTTAAATGCTTATTAAAAAAAAAAAAAGGAAAGAAAACCAGCTATTTGACAGTTTTCTGTTGAAAAACTTAATTCATACATTTTTAAACCACCACTCTGCAGATGTTGTATTTTATAATATCATGACTTCATCAGCAGTAATATTTAATAGCTAAGGTAATGTTTCAATTACGAGAGTGTTATACATTTTGACTTTATCAAGAATGATTAACGTTCTGAATATGATTTCAGTGTTCATGAATGGAAAATGCTCTGTTGATCATAAATCATTACAGTTCAATAGTACAATGAGCTTTGTGTAATTTTATGGACTTCTGAGAAGTACATCAGACATCCCAACCAACATACAATAAAAACTTGGTCTCTAATATAGGGAGTCTTCTGAGGAAAAAGAGAATTAATCCTAAATGTAACCTATTGTCATAGAAGCAGCTGTTACGAATGGATTATTTCAACAGTATTTTTGGTGTTAAAGAACATGGCCATTTTTGGGGTGAGAACTCCTAATCCTTTAAATTATCTCATAATCTTCACTCATTTACTAGTCAGAATTCTGTCCCCGATGTTTCTAACATGACAAGTCACATTCACACAGCCTACATCTCGCGTTTTATTTGGATGGATGTTTCTTCCCTCGTGTCTCCCTGCATACTGTTTCTGTGAAGTTGAAGCTCTTATTTGTGATTTAGCCATTTTTTTTTTTTTGGACAGAATTCTCAGTGACCTTAAATAGAACAGTCTTGCATAACTGTGTAACACTTAAATATTTTTAGAGGATTTTTATTTAACTCTTTGAATATTCGTAACTGAATATTTATTCAATATAATCAAAAGTACTGACACTGGAAATATAATACCGCTTAGCTCTGAAAACCAAGTTATGGCATCTAGTAGTGAAATATATCTGGAACATTGTGTAGTATTTGCTTTAGGAAAAATTTACTCTCTACCATTACAAAATAAATGTTGAATCTGCTGCCTCAGATTTTCCTGTATCTTACATGCCCTGCTGATGAAATGGTCTGAGTTAGGCTTAAGAAGAAAAAGAAAATAAAAAAAAGTTTAGCTCCATAGTGCTGGCAGCTGAAACCCTTATTGAATTACCCCTTAGTAAGAGATGTTGCTGCTCTAATCCCAAACTACACGTGTAAAGTTTCTGGCTTTGCCTATTTAGAAGTCAATAGCTCTTTCTTTTTCTGGCAGCCCTCAAGTGTTGACCAGATCAATGGAAATTTTGCTAATATAAACACAAAGATTTCCGCCCCCCCCATTTCCCATACACTAATATGTTACCTCTAATCACACTAATACCATATGCATATCTTAATGTTTCTCAGTTGGTAAGGAATATCGTGGCTGCTTTTTTAAAGGAAGTTTTTAGACTCAGAGAAAAAAACTGGCATTTTTGGTAAAATTCCTTGCTGAGAAGCAATCCTAAACAGCTTAGATCCCCTCTTTAATAGATGCCATCTTCAGAATACAGTCGTTCAGAGAACAAAAACGTGTATAACATATATAGTATTACTTATTAAAAATGAAAGGTTAAGAGAAAAAATGAGCC